CGCAAGAGCAATGCGTGATTGGTCTCCCGGCGGGACCAATGCTGTTTGTCTTCGAGCCTCCTCCGCCCCCCCCCCGGGTGGTTTTCCCCCCCCCCCCCCCCCCCCGCCGCCCCCCTCGCCGTGCCCGCCGCGCCCGCGTCCACGTCCGTCGTCAGGCTCCAATGGAGCGCCGGGCGCATGTGCGGAGGGAGCCGCGGTGCCCGATGGGCTACCAACGCATGGGCACATGCAGGATTGCCACTTAATCGGAATACCATCAGTCCGATCCTAAAGGCCGCAGGCGGCATTGTGTTACCCCACAACCCGCAGCGCCGCGGATCGTGGTCGGCGTCGCGGGTGGCGGGCCGCGTGCCCCGCCTCCCTCCGCCCCCCTGTGTGGTCGCCCCTCGGACCTCTGGGTCACCTGGCCTTCCCGAATCGCCTGCCTCAGCATTCCCCGACTTATGGTGCTTTCCCCCGGTCTCTGCAGGGGCAAGGGCCTGACTAGGATCCCCGCCAAAGGCCGAGCCTCCGTGCCACTGTCCAGCCAGCCACGCTTTCTATCGCACACGCGCACACGGGGCCCACCTGCCTGCCGCTGTGTCCCCCTCGCCCTCTTTCACTGGCTCTACCTGTTGGGCGCTGTCCGGCGAAAAAAAAGAGCAGCGCGTTGTTCACATGGTGATATCTATTGTGCTTGTTATGGCGCGCGGTGGCGGTAGGACGCGTGCATGCCCCTCCACCCCCCGAGGCCGGGCGTTTGCTCGCCTTGGCGGCCTGGTGCGTATATCGCAGGAAAGAGACAAGAGGGGGCATGCGCGAGAGAGGGCGGCTCCGCCCGGCCCCTAAAGCGGTGGCATCACAGGACCAGGGGTGGCTCCGCCTCCCCCCCCCCCCCCCCCACCCCCCCCCCCGCCCCCGTTTTGATGGAAAAGTGCTCGCTAGCCACGGGCCCCGGAGGGAGAGAAGCAAGGGCCGAGGGGCAACTCGTGCACCCAGCAGCCCGGGAAGTTCTGCCGAGTGGCAAGTCCCTTGGCCAGAGAAGGGCTCCGGGGAGAGCTCAGGGAACGAGGAGCATCAGCATGCTGCCTTTGCCTGTCCCCCGGCCCCCGGCAGTTGGCGGCATCGGGGGAGGGAGGGACAAGCGCGGCGATCTCCACGTCCGGCCAGTAGTGGCAGGGAGGGGGAGATGCCGTGTGCGTGTATGCGTCCGCGGCGCGCCGCATGCACCCGCATATGTGTGTGTCCCCCCCGCCTACCCCCCCCCCCCCCCCCCCCCCCCCCCCCCCCCCCCCCGCTCGTCCCCCCAGATCGCCCCTGGGATCCGGCCGAGCGTGATGGGAATCGAGATACATGGCAAGGACAGACACACACATACCCCCTGTCTCTGGGGACCGCGCCTCAAGAGAGCGGCTGAGTGGGCCCCAGGTCCAGGGCCGACACGTCGGGGTCGTGCCACAGCCAGGCCCGGGGGATGGGGGTGACCCCGTCCAGTCCGGGGCCGCTCATGAGGATGAGGGCCGACGTGTCGCCCCGAAGGATGTCCTCGCCGCGGCTGGCCGGCTCGACGGTCAGGTCGCGCCGGGGGAAGTTCCGCCAGGTGGAATGCCGAATGGGCAGCTCGGCCCGGAGCCCGGCGTCGGGGGTGCACACCGGCTGCCTGGCGCCGCCGGGGGTGGCGTCGGTGTTCCCCCCTGCCGGGGGCTGGGGGGTGGCCGCGTCGCCGCCGCCGCCGCCGCCGGGCCCGGGGGCCGACTCGCCGGGGCCGTCGTCGGTGTGGTCCTCGCCGAAGGTCGGGCCGGCTGGCGGCTTTTCGACCTTGGCATTGGAGGGGCATGCGGTGACGGCCCCGGCTCGGCCGTCCATGTAGGCCACACGCAGACGGTGCCACCCCCGGGCCAGGCCGACGGTCCAGCTGCCCCAGCCGGACCGCGTCAGGGTCCACGGGTCGGCCTCGATGCAGGAGGCCACCGGGATGCCGATGGCCGTGTCGGCCGTGTGCAGGGGCATCCACCCTTCGCGATCGGCCCGGTCGGAGTAGCCGGTCTCGGGGAAGCGCTCCAGCGGGGTGAAGATGTCCTGGTTGTTGCCGGTCCCGCCGCGGGCCACCTCGTCGATGGTCGGGTCGCCGCGGTGACGAACGGACTTGGCCCCGCCGGAGGCCGCGTCCGGGAGCTGGAACCCCGGGCTCATGCGGTACAGCCAGAGGCGGATGTGCTCGGCCGACCCGGCATCATGGGGGTTCAGCAGGGACGGGTCGAAGTGGAAGGTGTACAGCCCGGCTTGGGGGATGGCCAGCATGCCGTCCATGACATACAGCACGGCCGGGGCCTGGTCCAGCGGGAACTGCCACCGGGTGGCCAGCATGTCGAAGCGGTCCGGGATGAAGGGATTGGCGGCCTCGGGCTCGGCGCGTGGCTGCTTCGCCTGCGCCGGCGGCCGGTGGCCCTGGGGCCGGTCGTCGTCGGCCGCCGATGCGCCGGTGGCGGCCGTCATCAGCTTCTTCTTGTGCCCCTGCGGGGCCGGCGGCGGCGGCGGCGGCGGCGGCGGCGGCGGCGGGGCGCGCAGCAGGGCCGCCGCGTCCGACCGCACACTGACCCCATTGGCGGGCGGGGTGTCGAGGTCCGGCCGGGTGGTCGGCCGGATGTAGGTGTCCGGCAGGGTGATGGCCGGTGGCTGGCCCTCGCCGCCGATCCCCTGCGGCAGGGGGAGGTCCGGGTCCCGGCGACCGAGCCACCGGGTCTCCACGGCCCGGCGCAGGGCCCCGTCCAGGGGGGCCGGGCTGCTGGTGGCCCACCCGGGCCCGAGGACCAGCCCGTGCGTGGCCGGGGCCAAGGGGTCCAGGGCCGCCGCGCGGAGGAAGTCCTCCTGGTGGACCCCCTCGCCGACGAGCCGGACGCCCGGCTCGCCGAGGGTCATGATCCGGCTCTCAAAGCCAAATAGCGCCCGCGCGGCCAGGCCCTTGCGCAGGCCGGCCTTCGTGGCGTCCGACTGGATGAGCTTGGCGTCCTTCTCGCGCTGGGCCGCCTCGCGCGTCAGCGGCCCGGGGGCCGGGGCCACCTCGGCCGAGGCGGCCACAGCCATGGCGCCGTGCGGCTGCTGCGGCTGCTGCGGCTGCTGCTGCTGCTGCTCCTCATCTTCCGCTTGCTCCTCGGTCCGCCGGGCAGCCGGGCCTGTGTCCGGCCGGAGCGGGGGCATTTCCCTGTGCGCGACCAGCAGCGGGGACAGATCGGCCCCCCTGCCGGGGCCGGCCATGGCGGCAGATGCGACGGCGGCCGGGCGCCCGCGCGGCGGCGAACCCGGCGCCGCCGGCACCGGCGACCACGCCGACACCGGCACCAGATCCGGGCTCAGGAGATCGGTCAGATGGTCGAAGTCGCTTGGCTGCCGGGAGAAGCGCCCGGCGGTGCCCGGCTCCTCGGGCCCCGGGGCCCGGGCGGGACATGGCGTCGGCGTCGAGGACGGGTGCCCGGGCCGGCCGCCGCCGGCCGGCATCTTCGGCACCAGCGCCAGCCAGGGGGACGACGGGGCCGACTGGTCGCCGGCCAAGTCGGCGGCCACCGCTGCCGGTGCTGCCGCCGCCGCCGCCGCCGCCGCCGCCGCCCCCCCATGCTCGTGGGGTTCGTCGGCCAGCGCACGAGCCGACGTGCCCTGCCCCGGAGGGGGCAAGCGCCGGACCGGGGCCCGAGCATACCGCCGGGCCTGGAAGAAGGACAGGGCCTCGGGGCCGGCGCGCGTGGACGACCGGTCGGCCGGCAGGGCCAGCGAATTCCGACCCAGGGCCGACCGGCGGAAGGCCCGCGCCCGGATGATGACCGTGCGCGGCTGCAGCCGGAGCCCGGTCAGCCCGGCCGAGTAGAGCGGGCTGGTGGAGGTGGGCTCCGACCCGTCGATGGTGTAGCGGATTTCGATGTCCCCGCCATCGTCATCCTCCATGCCGGGGCCGGGGATGAAGACCGGGCCGCCGCCGGTCGGAGCGCCGGGCTCCCGGCCGAAGGCCGCCGGGCCGTAAAACAGCGCCCGGTGGGGATAGGTCGAGCTGCCGGGCGAGTCGACGTCCGGCTCGGCGTCCAGGGCCATGACCACGCGCAGGTCCCGGATGCCGGAGGCAAAGCACGTCCCGGCCACGAAGGTGGTGGAGGTGGTCGGCTGCAGGGTCTCCTCGCCGGGGTAGTCGGCCTGCCGGTCGGCCGGCATGCGGCTCCGGCCGAGATGCCAGTCGCCGCTGAGCCACACCCGCACCCGGGGCAGCGGGGTCAGCACCCCGCGCAGGGCCTCGACAGTGGTCGGCTGCAGCAGGACCTCGGCGTCCCACAGGTGGGCCATTTGCCCCAGCCACAGGGGATTGCGCCGGTCCCGGATGAAGGGCGGCTGCGGGCAGCCCAGCACCAGGCCCGTCCAGTCGGCCGACCGGTCGTCCGCGCTCCAGATGGGCTGCAGGGTGTTGGTGGCTCGGCGGTCGCGCTGCAGCGCCTCCGGCCAGGGGTTGGGGTCGGTGCCGGGCCCGGACCCGGCGGCGGGGGCCTTCTTCCGGCCACCGCCGCCGCCGCCGCCGCCGGTGGACCCGGCCGGCGGCCCGGCCGGTTCCAGCACCCGGGTCGAGGTGCCGCCGGTGTCGGCCACCCGTCGCGGCTCCTGGGTCAGCTCCAGCAGCTCGGCCCGCGACAGGGCGGCCCCCCGGCGCGTGAGCAGGCACGCCTCGGCCCGCAACTTCAGCCGGCCATCCACCAGGCTGTGGTGGCATGCGGCATCGAAGCGAGCCCGGCCGTAGCTGGCATTCGGGTCCAGCCGCAGGAGGGCTTCACGATTGTCGGCCAGCGACAGGACCGCCCGGTGCCCGGACAGGCGATCGTGCAGCGTCAGCAAGTGCGACCCGAGCAGCGAGGCGGTCGGCCCGGCGGCCGGGCCCTCGGCCCCCGGCAGCTGGGGGAAGAACTCCATCAGGAAGCGCGCGCTGTCCACCCGCCGGGCCTGCTCGTAGGCCCGGTGGTCGCCGGCATGCGACCAGGCCCGGACGAATTCCGCATCGCGCTTGGCCAGCGTGGCCACCGGCCGGGTGATGAGCCCATGCGACACGGACAGCAGCTGGGCCCGCGTGCCGAAGTCCAGCAGCTGGCGCACCCGGCCGCGGAAGCCCCGGCGGATGTCCTCCGACCGGAAGGTCCGGTGCAGGTGCGTGCGGGCCCCATCGCGCGGGGTGTACACCGACACCACCTGGCAGAGGGTCATCTCGGCGGCCTCCAGCCCGGGGGTGGTGTACCCGGCGGCGCCGCCCTTCGGCGGCAGGACAAACCCCAGCCGCAGGCGATAGGACATGTACCGGGTGCGAGCCCACCGCCGGGGGGCCGACCGGGACATCAGCATCGACGAGGGAGCGCCCTCGGTGATGGGCGTCTCCTCGACCACCATCATGGAGATGGGCTGCGTGGTGAACACCCGGACGCTGTGGCCGGCCATGCCCGGGGCGTCGAACGACACGATGACCTCATTGGGGCCGAAGCGCCGGACGCGCCACTCGGCCGCCATGCGGCTCGGGTCGCCATCCGGCACATCCTCATACCCGGTGTCGTAGGCCGGCAGGCGCTTGTACACGCGCTGCCGCGGCAGCCCGGCATCCGGCGCGTCGATGTACATGTCGTCCCACTCGTGGAAGAGACACAGGCTGTCCAGCACCCACTCGTACACGCGGGTCAGGCCGCCGCCGGGTGGCTGGCGCTCGTCCGGCCCGAGGACCCCCTGGCCAATGCGGTCGACCACGACAAAGGCGCCGGAGCTGCCGCCGCCCACCCGGCCGCCGGCCGTCGGGTCGACATTGGACTCCTGGCCGAAGTCCTTCAGGAAGAACACCTGCCGGGTGTGGGACAAATCGCGCATGATGTTGTCCTCGGACACGCGCGGCGGGGTGTCCGGCATCGGCCGGATCTGGGGCTCCGACGGGGGGATGACCTCGGGGCTGGCCGTGGCGGCGGCGGCGGCGGCGGCGGCGGCGGCGGCGGCGGCGGCCGGCGGCGGCCCGGCGCCCGGGTGCGCATGGCGCCGGGACCGGACCCCGGCGGGGGGCCCCTGCCCGGCCGGCCCCATGCCGGTCGGAGTGGCCAGGATGCGCGCGGCCCCGGTCTCCACCCGCCGGCCCAGCAGCTGGTAGAGGCTGGTGCTGTCGGCCCCGCGGCCCGAGTGGCCGAAGCCGATCTCGTAGGAATTGCGCGAGGACAGGAAGTTCAGCGTGACCGGGGTCCAGGGGGACCCCCGGCGCCAGGCGCACTCGGCCAGCTCCACGCCGGCGGTGGCGTGCGGGGCCGCGTGCCAGCGCATGTCCCGGGCACAGCTCGGCAAGCTGCCCAGGGCCGACACCAAAGCCACGGTCTTCCCGCCGGGCGTGAGCGACCGCATGGCCAGATGCCGCTCCGGCATGAAGGTCGGCCGGCGCAGCATGTCCGGCGTCACCACCGACCCCGGGGCAATCTCCGGCATGTTGGGGGTGCTTTGGATTTGGCGAATGCGCGGGCCCATGAGGATGATGGCCGGCCGGCCGCGCAGGTGCACCATGAACATGTGCTCGTCCACGCGCTCGCCATTGGTGCTGGCCCGCGGCCGGCCGATCAGCGAGGCGAAGGTGAAGTCCCGCTGGGGGTCCCAATCGCCGACGATGTTGTCCTCATTGTCCATGATGACGTCGGTCGGCGGGGGGACCGTGGACCCGGGGTCCGAGTCGTCCGTCAGCCGGCCGGCCCCCCCTCCGGGGGTGGCGGCCTCCTTGCGGGCCGCCTTCCCCCCGGACGACTTGGGCTGCTGGACCTCGTGCGTCGGCCGGGGGTAGTCCTCGGACCCCGGGCCGGAGGTCGGCAGCCACCGGTCCCGGAAGAGGAACTCCCCGGCATACGGGGCCGCGTCCGACAGGAAGTGGTCATTCAGCGCGCGGTCCAGATCGCGGCCGCTCTCGGCCACCGGCAGCCAGCCGTCAATCTTCCACGGGGGGGTCGTGCCGATGACGGCCTTCATCGAGGGGCCGAGATCGGCTTGCGGGTCCCTGCCCTTGTTAGAGCGGACTGGCTCCGGCAGGCGCCGGCGCGCCTCGGCATCCTGGAAGTCCAGCGGCAGCAGGTGCATGTGCAATCTGCCGACCACGCTCCGGGCCACGGCCTTCTCCGGGAATTGGCGGAAAACCTCCGGCGTGGTGCTCAGCGCACAGCCCAGGGCCATGGGGATCGGGTCGGCCAGTGTCGAGCCCAGGGGGACCGGGTACCGGACGGGCAGGTTGTTCTTCAGATCCTCCTCCTCCGGGTCCACCGGGGGGGTGTCGTCATCGCCATCGCCCGGGTCCGGGGTCTCGGGGTCGGTGCCGGGATTCGGCCCCTCGGGCTCGGTCTCGCCGCCGCCATCTCCTTGACCGGGGTCGGTGCCGGGGTCGGTGCCGGGGTCAGGCTTGGTGCCGGGGTCGGTGCCGGGGTCAGGCTTGGTGCCGGGGTCGGTGCCGGGGTCAGGCTTGGTGCCGGGATCGAGTTCACCGCCGGAATCGGGCTTGGTGCCCGGATCGGGATCGGGCTCAGGCACAGTGCCAGGATCGGGCCCCGGATCGGGCTCAGGCACAGTGCCAGGATCAGGACCGGGATCAGGACTGGGATCAGGACCGGGATCAGGACCGGGATCAGGACCGGGATCAGGTCCCGGATCAGGACCCGGATCAGGTCCCGGATCAGGTCCCGGGCCCGGACTCGGCTGCTCGGGCTCAGTGTCCCCACCAGTATCGACGTCGCCTCCGCCGGTGCCCGGCTCGAGCCCGGGCTCGGTGTTCTTCTTCTTGCGCTCCTTGCGGCCCTCGTTGCCGGTTTCCGGCTCCAGGACCTCGGGGAGGGGATTGATCTTTTTGCGGACCTTGTCCGGGTTGCGAGTCTTCTTGCCGGTCAGCGCCTGGACCTCGTCCGCGGCCGAGGACAGCCCCCCGGCCGCGTCCGCCATGGCCAGGGCGCCGACCGTGCCGGTTGCTGGCGGCCGGGCACCCAGGAAGCCGAGCATGCGCTGAACCAGGGCCGGCGGCGCGCCGGTGGTGGCCGGTGGCGGGGGACACGCGCGGTTCCGCCGCGGCACGCCCGGCCCCACAGCCGTCAAGGCAGCCGGCACACCCAGCCCGGCGGGGTCCTCACCATCGAGCAGCATGCCCCGGCGAATGCCCCGCCCCCCGGCCGCGGCCGCGGCCGCTGCCTCATGGTAGCCGAGGAGCTCGCGATCGCGCTGGCGCCGGAGCCTCGGGCACATCCACCGGGAGCTGGCGCGCCGGGGCTCCCGGGAGGCCCCGCCGGCCGAGGCCTCGGCCACCGCGGGCGCCAGCACACAGGCGGCCGCCTCGTGGCCCTGCTCATCCGGCAGGACGGTCAGGCGCCCCTCGCCGGTCCACTCCTCCCGGGCCAGGTGCTCGGGGGCCGGGTCTTCGTCGGTGGTGTGCTGGTCGTGGCCCGGGGCCGGGTCCGCCGGGAGGACATGCTCCCGGACCCAGCGCCGATACTCCGGATTCAGCTCCAGCCACACGCGGGCCTCCTCCAGGAGCTCCTGCGTGACGCGCACATAGTCCGGCCGCTTGAGGCTGTACGGCGAGACGATGGTCTGCGGGACCAGGTAGTAGCGCTGGCGCCACTCGACCTCGCGGGCGATGCCCTCGCGCCCGGGGCGGGGCATGTCGGCAATCATGTTGCGCAGGTCCACGCATATTTGCTGCACCGACAGCAGCACCGTGGCATCCACATGGGGGCCCCCGACGCCGGGACCGCCGCCGGCGTCGGCGAAGCACACCTCGCCGATGAAGGCCGAGTGCAGGCAGCGCGCCTGGCCGCTGGTGTTGCCGGCCCGGTGGCTGAAGCCATCCTGCTTGATGCGCCGAAGCAGGGAGCTGGTGTAGGCCAGCCGGCGGATGGACTCCACCTGGAGCCAGGCCGGCGCCGCGGCGCCGCGCTGCTGCGGATCCAACGGCCCGTCGGCCGTCACGCCGCCCAGGTCATCGCCCTCGTACAGGTCGTCCACCGGCTCGCCGGCGCCGAACCCATGGGGCACGGCCGCCGGCGGGGCGTCCGCAATGCCGATGGGCCCGGCGTCGGCGGCCGTGATGCGTGCCAGCTGGCCGGCCCCGGCGGCCTGGGCCTCCGGCTGCGGGGGGTATGGCCGCTGCCGGGGCGGCCGGATGAAGCTGGCATCCCGGCCACAGGGACACCAGAAGGTGCACCGGCGGCCATCATCCCCAAAGGGACACACCTTCGGCGGGGGCTCCGGGGCCGTGGGCCACGGGTCCCCCTCGGCCGGCGTGGCATCGGCCCGGGCCGCGGCGGCCCCCTGCCCGGGCACCACCACCCTCGGCAGCCGGTCGCCGGCGGCATGGTCCTGCGTGCCGATGAGGAAGTCCCGCGGGGGCCGGACAAACCACCCGACCAGGGCCGGGTGGCTCAGGGAAAAGAGCCACAACCGGCGAATGAGATTCCCCAGGTACAGGTTGTCCATGGCCTCGTGGGCATGGTCATTCCACTCGAGCGGGGCGCCGTCCAAATTCAGCCGGCCCGTGGTCCAGAGGGCCATCCAGTGGCGGCGGGCTTCGCGAATGGCCCAGCGCCCGATGCGCAGCTCGTCGAACATCAGCCCGACCATGGTCAGCGAGGCCAGGGCCGCGGACCGGTGGTTGGCGGCCGTCTGGCGCATTTGCATGACCGTCACGCCGACCAGCTCCTCCAGGGCCGTGATCATGGCCAGGGTCAGGGCCTCGGCCGGCAGCTGGGCCTCCGGCTCCGGCCGGACGGCCGCAATGCGCGTCAGCTCCCCGAGGAAGCCCAGCAGCATGCTCAGGGTGCAGGTGATGAAGTAGAACCGCGGGTTGGTGGCCGTCCGGGTGGCCTGGGCCGGCATGCGGGTGGCCCAGTCGACCGTGATGTCGGCCCATGCCTGGAGCAGGGCCCGGTCGGCGGCCGCCTGGCCACCGAGCACCCCGGACAGGGCCTTGGTCTCGTAGGCCCGGAGCAGCGGCCCGGCCGCGTAATTCAGCGTCACCACCGCCCGCGAGAAGGCCATGTCCTCCTCGGCGCTGGGCACGCTGGAGGGGACGGTGTTGGCCGGGGGCTGGACCCCGGCCGACCCGGCCAGCGGCACGGCGCACCAGTTCCACCGGCCGCGCGGGCCCATGCGCGCGCGAGTCACCCCGCCGATTTTCCGCGCTGCCCGGTCGGCTCCCGGCTGGGCCAGCCCCCCATGGTCGCAAGTGACCACGTCATCCTGCAGCAGGCGCAGCACATCGCGCCGGATGCATGAGGCCACCTCGCTGGCCCAGCGGGCCTGGTTCAGGATCCACAATGGCTCGGGCTCATCCTCGCGTGGCCACCGGGCTGGCGGGTCGTCCACCGACGGCTCCGGCGTGGTGGTGGGCGGCTCGGTCGGCGTCGGCACGGTGCTGGTGGGGGGCGGCTGGATGGGGGCGGTCGGCCCGCCCGGGGGGGTGCTGCCGGCCGGCAGCGGCGGCGCATGGCTCCCATCATACCGGAAGGGCAGCTGGTGGTAGTTGAAGTTGTTGCGCAGCCGGCGGAAGATCAGGTCCCGGAAGGTAGTGGCTGCCAGGGCCGGGTCCCCGGAGGCCAGGGACTGGTGCAGCAGGCGGATCTGCGGGCTGGCGTTGGGCCGCGGCGGGGCCACCGCCGCACGCAGCCGGTCCGCCGTGAACTGGCCCAGCTTCTCCGGGTCCATGGCTGGGGCGCGGGCCCGGGGGGGGCAGGCAGTGCGTGTCAGTGGCGAGGGAGGCGGGGGGGGGGGGGGGGGGGGGGGGGGGGGGGGGGGGGGCTTCGTGTTCCGGCTGTTTGCCGGGCTCCGGGCATATGCGCTTTCCCCCGCCCCCGTGTGCGTGCGCATGTCCCTCGCCCACCTTCTCCGGCGCCCTCACTCGCCTTCCTCCATCCTTCCCGTGCACTCTTCTCGCATCAGTGGGTCTTTCTCCTGCCTGCTCAAATCGATGGGCAGGGAGAGGGCGCGTGGATGCTGAATGGTCCCTTGCTTTCGGGCGTGGCCAGGCGTGCCAGCACACCGGGACGCGCTCGCGCGCAAGCGAACAGACAGCCGCACAAGCATCGACAGCCGCACAGGGATCGACAGCCACCAACGGCCATAGACAGGCGCGGACACCGGGCCCCGGGCGATCTTGGCCGGGGTCCGCTGGTCCAGGCACCAACCCATTACCCACAAGTAGTTTGTTTGACCCGGATTCATGCGTACTCGGTGGTCCGAAAAGGCGGGCGCCCGGTCGAGCAACGACTTCGAGTCTTCGCCGGGGTGGGACAGCGGCAGGGCCAAAGGCACAGGGTCACAAGGCAGCAGGCGAGCAAATGCAAAGGACAATGGAGGCGGGGAAAGGGGAGGCGGTGGGAGGGAGTTGGACTGGCGCACGGCAAGGCGGACCGGCACCCAGGGACTGCCTATTATAGTGGTGGTGCCCCCCCCCCCCCTCTTCCCCGCTCCTTGCCCTGCATCGCCGGGGTCCTGCCAGCACGCGTTTGCTCACGGGCGCGTTTGCTCACCGGCACGTTTGCTCACAGGCACGTTGGCCGCCAGAGCGGTCAGGCCGCCGCCCCAGACGCGGCGCAGAGGCACGACAAGGCGACGCACGCGGGCGGCAGCCCTCCCCCGCCCCCGCTCCCGCCCCATGCCTTGGGCTTCCTCGCGGCCGGACGACCGCCCGACACCGGCCGGCGCTGGCATGCCTGGCAGGCGCGCCAAGGCCGTGGCATCCCAACGAATGATATTGCCCATGGGCGCCAGCGCCGCTCATCAAGCCCCCTCGCGCCCCCCCCCCCTCCTTTTGAGCGTCCGAGGCTGGGGCGAAGCCG